TGCCCCCAGCCGCGCCCCCTCCCAGACCCCGCTGCTGCGGGTTGGCGCCGGCGCCTCTCCCGCGGGGTCCGTCCCCCCCCCTTTTCTCCCACCCCATGAACGCTGCGGGCTGTGCTGGGGGCCCTCCCCCTTCCTGGTGCCCTGATGCCTTACTCCCCACGTCCCCTCTCCCCTGGGAGTCAGCGAGGAGACGTGCCTTGTCCCATCTGTCCTCTGAAACCAAAGACACAGCCCCGGGCTGGGGCCCCCTCACAGCTGCAGGCTGACCCCCCCATACTTGAAACCGGGGCACTGGTGCTTGACTGTGCCCTGCCCAGCACCACGCAGCTTTTAATGTTCTCCCCTCCCAGACAGGGGCTTTTCTACACGGAAAAATAAATGTTACTTCAGACTTTTGGAAACAGGAGTTGTCCCCTTTGGCTTAAATGCTGTCCCCTTCCCCCGGAGCTGGGGCTGGGTGGGCCCCTCTGGGGGTGCATCGGGCTGTGGGAGGGTGCAATGCCCAGTCCCTGTGGGGCAGAGCAGGACTGGGGGTGCAGAGAGGTGGGTGCTGGGATGCGGGGATGCATCTCAGCCCCTCCTTTGCAGTAGCTGTGTCCCCCACGGCGTGGCAGCAGTAGCTGTGGTCCCGCTGGGATGCCAGGGCTGCAGACAGATGTCCCAGTCCTGGCCACCAGCCCTGGCTTGTCCCGATGGCCCTGGCCACGGGCAGCTGCTCTCTCCCAGCCGGGGCTCCCCGATCTCCCCTGGGGGTCTCTGCTCCCTTTGCTCCTTCCCTGGGGGACTTGTCCGCTGCCCAGGTGGAGCACATGGGGCACAAAGCCTCTGTGGGGCAGGCAGGGTGGCACAAGGTGACAATGCTGTTCCTGTTGCCTCTCCTGCCCCCGGGAGCCCTCCTGTCCCCTGGTGCCCTGCTCTCTGGCATCAATCCCCTCGCTCCCAATCCTTTCTGCCCTTACCCCTCAGGCCAGCTTTATTTTTAGCCCCTGGCTGCTTTCTGCCTTCGGGGGTCTTCCCAGGGCAGGGAGAGCATCTGCCCCTGCCTGCAGCCCCCCCCAGGGGAGGCAGCCGTCCCAGTGCAGAGCGGGGCAGGGGCAGGCAGGGGTGTTGGAGCAGATGAGGTGGAGGTGGCTGGATTAGCCATGTAAAACTGTCTCAGAGATGATTACTTAAAGCAGCGGAGAAGGAAGGCTGGGTGGGGACAGCGCAAGGGCCAGGGGGCTGCCGGTAATCCCCCTAAAGCCGCTTAGGGAGCACAGTTCCTACAAGGATACAGCCCAGGGAGGCTGCTGGGGCTGCCTGCCTGCCCTGGGTACCGGTGCTGGGATGCTGAGCTGGGTGGTGGGGTTCCCCTAGCGTGGGGGACTGCAGCCCCCTGGCCCCAGGGGTGGCCGGGAGGAGGCTGGGGGCACGCCGCGAGTGAGGCGGCAGCAGCGTTGGAGCCTGAGCGTCGTCCATCCCCAGGATGGGAGGTCAGTGGGGACCGCTGTGTTTCCCAGCTTGGGGAAACTGAGGCACGCACGCCAGCGACTTCTAAGATAGAGCTGGGAAGACAACCAGGAGTCCTGGTGCCCGACTCCTCTTTTGACAAGTGTCCTGTGTATTCCCCAGGGAGAGAAACCCAAGGAGGGGACAAAAGCTGCCCGGGGTGGTGCAGCCCGTCCCCTTGGGGCCGAGGCAGCCCCCTCCGGTGCCAGCGCTGATCCCAGCTGTGTCAGCTCGCGGGCCTGTGCCAGGCTGCAGTCAGCAAAGCCGTAATCTCCCTCGGTTGGCAGCGCCCCAGCCCAGCAATTAAGTGGCTGACCTGAGCTCGCCCGGCCACGGCTATGGTCCCCTCCGGCAAGGGATTGGGGGGCTGAGCCCCAGCTGGCACCGCTGCGGGGTCCCCCCATCTCGCCTCAGGGCAGGCTCTGTCCCCACCGCAGCAGGGTGAAGCGTACCCCTGCGGTGCACAGGGGTTGCAGGAGGTCACGTAAGCCGGGTGGCTCGTGTCCCCGTAAGCAGCTTGCCCGCTGGGAAGGCATTAGTGAGAGCGAGGGTCAGGTCGCAGCCCCTGGCCGGTGGCTCCTGCCAGCTGCCCCGCTGTGCCCCCCGCTCCCCTCCCGGGGCTTCCCTGCTCTCTTGCCTGCATCCCTGAGAGCTGGCAGGGGGACTGGGTGACGCAGGGGTGTCCCCTCTCCCAGCAGGACAGGGACGCTTCTGGTGCTCCAGGGAAGCAGGACACTCAATCCTGGGCAGCTGGTGCCCCCGGGACAGGCACTGCCCGTTCCCGGTGGGCAGCGGCCCGGAGAGGATGTGAGCCGGTGCCTTGGCATTGCCAAAGGTCAGCGCTCGGGGGCTGCTGTGGCCGGGCGCTGCAGGGGGTGGCAGCCCTGGCCCCGCTCCCCGTGGCTGGCTCTGCTCCCTCCCTGGGGAGCGCAGGGTCGCAGGGCAGCGGGGCTGTTACTCGTTAACAGGATCTGCTGGGCAGACCTCCCCAGGGAGCCGCTGGCTCCTTTGGGTGCCATCCCCCAGGGAGCCGCTGGCTGCTTTGGGTGCCATCCCCACTGCACCCACCCCTTGCCATCCTCCTGCATCCCCCTGTGCTGCTGCCGGGGCCGGGTACCGGCTGAGCTCCCCGAGCCCGTGCCGGTGGCACCAAGTGACCCAGTCACGCTCCCCCAGCCCCCCCACCTCCCTCCCTGCCCCTTTCCCAGCTCATTTTACCCCACTGCGGCCAACCTGGGGGCTGCTGCCGTCCCTGGGGCTGCCCTCATTCCCCCAAGCTGGCTGTTTCGGGGGTCCCTGGCAGAGCAGCACCCTCCCGCAGGCTGGCTCCTCCACAGTGGGGGGTCTGGGCGTCCCCTGCCCCTGGTCCCTGCCGGGCTCCCCCCATCCTTGGCCCCCTCCGTCCCTGCCGCCTGAGTCAGCTGTTCCAGGCAGGAGCCATGTGAGGCCGCGCACACATGGCTCCCCGTGCGGCACAGCGCTGTATTTTTAGCAGACGGTATCAAAAGCATAATTATGTCTGTTGTTTAAATGCAGCCTCTTTTCTGGCAGCCCCGGGAGCTTTCAGCTGCCTCCCGCCGCAGAGGGCAAGGAGGCGCGATGCGGAGCCGCAGGCAGCGCGCTGCCTGCGGGCAGGGGGCTCGGCCGGGCAGGGGTTGAAAGCCCCCCCGCCGTCGCCACCGGGCAGGTAAGACCTTCCTCCCCCGTGCTGGGGGGACATACAGCACCTCTTTTGCATCCCCCGCCCCATCATGTCCTCAAACGCCCACCTGCCCCTGGGCTGCCATCGCCCCGCTGGTGAGGAAGAGGACGGCGAGGAAGAGGATGGCGGGTGGGAAACGCGGTGGCAGAAGGGGCCGGGGAAGGGGCGTTCGAGGTGACGGGGGTGTGGGAGGACACAGCTGAAGGAATGCTGCATCCCCCCCCCCGCAGCTGCCTGTCCCCCTGGGGACCCGTCTGTCCCCAGCCAGTCCTGTTCAAGGCCTGGCCCTCCCTGCGCTGGCATCGAGGATGATTCCAGCTCCATGTCCCAGCGCTGGAGCCGTGTCCCTGCTGTGACACAGGGGGGACACAGAGGCTTTTACCCCGGGGTTTTGGGGACCCCAATCCAGGGACCCCGCAGCATCGCTGAGCATTGAGGGAAACTGAGGCACTGCCTTGCTCTGGCAGGAGGAACAAGGCAGCGAGCGGGCAGGGGGCTGCCCACCGTTCGTGACTCTCTTCTCCCCGCACCAGGAGCCGTGCTGCCCCATCGCCTGCCCGGTGCCAGCCTGCCCAGCACCATGGCTGGCCGGAGGCGGGACGCCCCGGGAGCGCAGTGGGGACAGAAGAGGGGCCCAGGCTGAGGGCAGGAGACCCTGGCTGCTCCCAGGTAGGTGCCGTCGGGTCCCGGGTGAGCAGGCAGCAGGCAGCTGCCTGCCCTGCCTCTCCGGCGTGCAGGTGGCAGAGGGCTGCCGGTGTCCCTGGCTGCCATCCTAAGCCTTTGGCCCCGGGGGTGAGCTTTTAATTACATCAAGGTATTTG